CGATAAATGGTCGTACAAATATTTTTTGCTACAGTAAATCCTAGTATTACTACGACTTCAAAATTGTTCCGTAGTAAAAAGTACCTTTTATTACGATTTTTCGCCGTAGCAAACAAATTCGTAGTTTTAAACAAAATTTCTACTATGGATATTCCATAAAATCTCGAATATTCCACTAAATTTGAAACCGCAAGGGTGGACGTGTAAGAAGATTTATAGTTGAGGGGTGGTTGTAATTACCCAGGAGGGGCGTTTTCGTAATTTGACCATACCTCAGGTGGTGGTTGTAATTTACCCTTATAATTATTATCACACACAAATTACGGACAACCCCTGAGGTAAAGTCAAATTATGAAAAAACCCCTCATATTTGGGTAATTACAAATACCCCTTCATCTATGTATTTTCTTATAAAAACCCCCTCATTCAGTTGGTAAATTTGACACTGTAGAGGTGGATGTGTAAGACAATACATAATTAAAAGGGGTGGTTGTAATTACCCAAACATAAAGGTTTTTTTTCGTAATTTAACTTCACCTTAGGGGGACCGTAATTTGCCCTATTATAACATATAACACTTATACGTGGGAAACTAATTCTCTTATATTTGATTTTTTTTTCATTTACTGACAGTCTAAGGAAGAATGCGAGCATTTGATAAATCTTGCAAAACCTCACATGGTAAAATCGAGTGTTGTCGATACCGAAACCGGCAAGAGTATAGATAGCAGGTTTATTTACACGTCTTCGATTTTTATTTCCTGTTTATAATGTCTTCAATTTGTCATATAACGAAGCGACCGCGTATCGTGTTTCAGGATTCGTACAAGTTCCGGAATGTTCTTCAAGAGAGGACACGATAGCGTCATTGGAGCTATCGAGAAAAGAATAGCGGACTACTCACAAATACCTCTCGGTACGGAAATATTTACGTTCGATAGCAACTTTTATAATTACATGTTTTGCCACAAAGTGTTACTATATTATTATTACATGTTTAAAATTTTGTTTATAGAGCATGGAGAAGGTATTCAAGTTCTGCACTACGAAGTGGGGCAAAAGTACGAGCCTCACTACGATTACTTTCTCGATGAATTCCACACAAAAAACGGGGATCAACGAGTCGCCACCCTTCTTATGTATTTGTAAGTACTTTACCAATATGCCCCTGCTTCTAGTGTGACAATTTTTTTGTATCATTTTCTTTGAACGATATTGTTCAATGTGATTTTTTTTATTTTTTAAAGGTCCGATGTTGAAGAAGGCGGTGAAACTGTTTTTCCAGTTGCCAAGGGAAACTTTAGTTCTCTGCCAGGATGGAATGAGATGTCCGAATGTGCTAAGAAAGGGCTTTCGGTAAAACCGAAAATGGGTGATGCACTGCTTTTCTGGAGTTTGAAACCTGATGCAACTCTAGACCCATCGAGCTTACACGGTCAGTTTCATTTTTTTCCCGCCCTTTTTTTAAAAAAAAAATTATCGTTAACGATTTTGTGTTCAGGAGCTTGCCCTGTTATCAGAGGGAACAAATGGTCAGCTACAAAGTGGATGCATCTTCATGAATATTAAGTCGAAGGTATCATCAAATTTCGATTTTCTTTTACATTCTCTGTAAAAACACACGCGATGAGGTAGTTCATTGTTTGATGAAAGTTTTGTTTCAATTTTTCTCATAATTGCTTAAAGATACGTTTGAGGTCGTTCGATTTACGGTAATTATGTTTGCAGGATTTTACTACTATATGGAGAATTATTCGGGCATCTTTTACATGCAATACTCGATTTATCAGATTTTATGCATACTTGTAACACAGAGTAAGAGCCCGAGGAAAGATCCATAAAGACGAGAAACGGAGCATCGCTAAATTTGTAACATATTGTTAAGTGTGACACTAATTCTTTTTTAAATTTGTAACATATTTGTTTTCATGAAAAAGTTTTAAGTCTCCCATTAACTACTGATGATGAAAGAATCACAGTATCCACATTTAGTTATTTAACAAAATCGACAAACAAAACGAACATGAAAAAAATAAAAGCGAAAGTAAAATTTGAGATCAAGGGTAAAATGAGAAACTTCCAAATTTCATCCTAGACCTCACCTTACTAAATATGTAAATTTGTAACTATGTTATTTCAAAAGGTGCAACTATAATCAACACACAATTAGAAACTAGAAACTATAATTACAAGAAAAAAAAAAACCTCAAATCCACTATACCAAATTCAATCTTGATTCGTCATCAACATCGGTGTTTTCCCTCTCTCCCAATCGCCAACGCGAATAACTCCTGATAACTTGCAACGAAGCAAACACCCAAACAACAATATCCGGAACACGATCCGGATATTTTAAGGTAACGAGCATCGCATCCAACAAACCTGCATCTAAACAGTCGTAAAGGTCGAAATTCTCCAAATCACCGAAAAGATTGAGCAGCGAAATAACATGGAACCAAGCACTAAGGAAATAAGTCGTGGTTCGAAAATCGTCAACAAAATAGACTACGCAGATACAAACAAGCATGGACAGACAGTCGAACAATGTTCTCGAAGTGGGATTAAGTTTTAACGGGCGGTTGATTTTAGTATATAAAGCTAGGGTTATCAAAAACGCGCAGTATATGATCAACGTGCATATATATATAAAACCAACCAACGATTCGATAGTGAGTATATTAGAGAGAGAATATAAAATCGAGTAGATCGAGAGTAGAAGCCAAACAAATTTCCTCCATAGCCCATCCTCGGATGCATCCTCGGATGCTCCTTCAAACGATATTGTATATGCAGCCGCCATAGATTAGGTTTTGACAAACACAGGAATTAGATTTCATATACGTATTGCATAATAGGTTAGATTGGATATATATAGAGAGAGAAATCTAGAGAGAGAGAGATATTGCCAGAGAGAGAGATATTGCCAGAGAGAGGAGACTAGAGAATATGTTATTTTCTTATATATTTGGTTATTTGTTGGAAGATGGGTAATTCGAGTAGGAATAAACGAATAGGATTTATTTTGATTTATTAAGAATTGTTTTGATTTTTTATTTTTTTTTTCGTTTATTATCTCTTTTGTTTGTAGGAGTTGTCCGATAATAGCTGGTCTTTGCAAAAGCTTTCAGAAACAACTTCAGAGCTTTTTTTGCTTTTTTAAGTATTTGCAAAATAATTTTTTGTTTTTTTTTCTCTTAAAATAAGCTGTTTTGAGCTTTTTGAAAAAAAAAACACTTATAAACCCACTTTTTCTATTTAAGTTTATTTTTCCACAACATTTACAAAGACCCCCAACTTTTAAAAATAAGCACTTAATACCCACTTGCTCACAATCACTTGCATGGAATAGTTAAAAAATAAAATAACAAAATTAAGTCAATTAATTTATTAAAATAATTAAAAGAAAATTTTAGCTAGGGATACAAACAGTGGTGATAGTGGATCAATTTTCTAGCATCATAGGTAATAAAAAACCAATGATGAACCAACCATTTGGTAATAAAATTTCAACCAATATAAATAAATAAATAAATTATGTGATTGGTTAAGAAGTGAATCCGGTTCGATACCGTACTGTTGAACAAGTTATACCTTCTCGGAGCTAATGTTACGAAGACAATCCAAAATCTCGGCGAAATCGAAAGGCGGCATCTGAGAAAAATGCAGGTCTTCACCTTTGTGTGGATGCCTAAACCTAAAAACCAATCACAACAAACAAACAACCTTAATTTATTTATCCATCCCACACAACGGATAAATACGTATTCGCAACGAATGAAAGTTAGCAAAATCGAGTAAAACTAAACCCTTACCCGAGGCTTAAAGCATGAAGGGAAGGTCTTTCTAATTTAGCAACCAATTGATGAATTTGGCCGTAATAGCTTGAAGAATTCTTCGACTGAAGCTGAGATAAAGCCATGTGTTTCGTTCCTCCATACACATCGTCTCCTAATAGTGGAATACCAAGATACTTCGCGTGTGCTCGGATCTAATTCATACTCAGCCATTATTATAAAAATTAATAAAAAAAAAATCGAAACAAGACCCGAAAATTAGGGGTTGAAAAATGACTAGGGAAAAAATCGAGACCTGATGAGTACGCCCGGTTTCCAACCTCCATTCCACCAATGCACAACCACCACCAGCAAGTATTTCGACTACTTTATACCTAAAAAAAAACCCAAATTTATGTTTAAATGCGGTAAAATTAACTATAAAAAAAACTCAACTATTTGTGAGCACCGACTAATTATCGTATTTCACATAAAAAATAATGAACGAGGGGTTTAATTATTACCTACTGACAGCATGGCGTGCCTTTCCGTGTAAGGCGGATCCAGGAATAGCTACCATACGAATTCTGTTATTTGAATCACGGCCGATTGGAATATCAACACGACCAGAAACGGGAGAGGGGACCCCACATGTAAGACTTACGTATACTCTTTTTACAGTGTGTTTCTTGAACTGTTCAGCCAGATGGGAATGCGAATGCTCGTCCTAAGGCAATTAAATTACTATTAGCAATTCGACTTTCTTGAAAATACGAGGGAAAATGAATCGATGTAGAATTTTGCAGGAGCTTACCTTTGCAACGACAAGTAATCCACTTGTGCCTTTGTCCAATCTATGCACAATTCCGGGGCGTACGGACGACTCGGAGGGAAACACGGTGGCCTCGTCGATCGAATCGTCGTCGTCGATATTATCGGGGAGTGACTCTGGATTGAAGCATACGGTGGAAAGTCTGCAGTGGTGAAGAATCCCGTTTACGAGTGTTCCATTTGCATTTCCTGGTGCTGGATGAACGACCTACTTATAATAGATTAATCCACGATTTTAAGTCCGAAACGACAAAAAAAAAAAAATGCGCTACTTCCAATTGAATCCAAAAATTATTTATAATTCATATCTCGTCGTTTCGGGAAAGGGAAATTAACACAAGAAAACGAACTAAAGGGTTTTTTTTTCGAGAGATTTTACCATGTGAGCAGGTTTATTGACAACAAGAAGATGATCATCTTCATAAACTATATCCAACGGAATATTCTCTGGTTCAGCCCTCAAAGGCTGCAATTCGGCTATAGTGCAGTTCACCGAGTCGCCGTCTCGAACCACGTGCGAAACCTTCAATACAACACTATATACATAATCAACACACCACAGTTTCACACAGTAAAAATTAACCAAAAAAAAAAAAGAAGAGAGAGAGTGAGCTACCTTACTGATGACGTGGCCATTAACGGAAACTAATCCTGAACGAATGCTGGACTGAACCCTAGCTCTACTGATTCCGTTAATGCGGGAAGAAATCCATGAATCAACTCTCAATTTTGCCGAATCCAGCGCCACCGTCTCCTCAATTTTGTGGCCGGAGAAATTGTTCGGCCGGCCGGAAATAGAGTCCTGGGAGTCATCGGAATCGGAATAATCAGCCGGAATGGAATCGGGATAAGCGGAAGATGTGCTGAGGAGTCTCCAAAATGCAGGGTTTCTAGGGTTTATAGGAAAGGGTTTAATGGAAGACCAATTCAAGGATTGGAGGGACAGCATTTTCTGAAAGATAACCCGGGTTTGGGATTTGGGCGGGCTTTTTGTAAACGGGTATGTAAATATCAGATATATTAATTAATAAAAAAAAAGTCATAAATAATAATAAATAATTTATTGTTTATATTTTATTATTTATTATTGAACTAATTTCGAATTCGAAAAAGAGTTTAAAAATAAAATTTCGGAATATGGGCTATGTGGCAGGATATACTGGGAACGGTGGAATTAGCCCAGCATCATTTGGGCTAGATTACCATTTCTTTCACCATAGGCCCATCACATAATTTATTTATTTATTTAATTAAGAGATAAATGAGAATAAATTGATAAATAAGAAATTTCACGATGATATTGTTATTAAACACACATAGAAAATCTTTTAAATAAAATATAATTTTTAAAATGATTTATTTTCCTCGACAAATTTTGCACAAAAAATTCATATTTAGTGTCAAGGACAAAGAAACTAGTTGAATTTAGTCGAGTAAAATCAAATCAAACTACTTGATTCAGGATCATTGGACGAGGCTCGTTTAAGCTTTTATTCATCAACATAAAAAACCTAATCTTTAATATATAATCCCATTTGACAAGCTATGAAACTCAGTTTGAGCTCGAGTAAAATAAATAATAAATATGTACAAGAAACAAAGTTGCGTAAGGTCAATTGATGTTCGACACGAAAATTAAACTCGAACACAACTTTGAAAATTCGATTTTTTTTTTCGGGTACACGACATGCCCACGAAGCCGCAGCCGCCTCATTTATGGTATTCATATCGACATTTTTAGCATTTTCAATCGATGTTTGAAAATCTAAGCTAAATAATAAATATATAATATTATTTTTGATTAACCGACTTCCAAATTGGCAGAAATTAAATGCTTGGTTTTGTCCATTACAAATATATTACTACTTCACGAAATATTTTAAGCTGCGGGCGGAAAGTGTTGACCTTTTAAATTGGGAAATTAATATATAGTATAATATTGAGACCACTTTTGGTGGCTTATTCAAACACTCAAATTAAAAGGCCACCCAATCATTGTGTGCTATAATGCTAACCACTAAATCTAATTACAAAGGTTCCACATTTTGGTTAACGAGTTTAATTTCGTACTTAATTAGTTTCATGATGCTTCATTTTGTTTTTCGTCAACCTTCTTGATATTTGATGATGATTCTTGATGTTTCTTATAAAATCAAAACGAGATGGAATATAATTTTACAATATCAATCAGATACTACACTCGATGAAATACATCGAATGATTTTAATTATGGGCAGATGGTAGCCTGAGTTAAAGTTCAATTACGAAAATTCCCCTGCTGTTTGGATAATTACAGCCACCCCCTCAACTATATGTATTATCTTACGGAAAAACCCCTCTAGAAGTAAATTTAGGGATGTTAATTCGTTAAAAAACTGAACCGAAATTTCGGTACGCCAATATTTCATACCGTTTACCAAACCGAATATACGATTTGGTTCGGTAAATAATCGAATTACGTAAATTTTATTGAAAATATTTAAAATAAGGGGACGGCTGTAATTAGCCAAACAAGAAGCTTTTTTTTATAATATGACATTACTCAAGGGGACGACCATAATTTGGCCTTAAACTATTGATATGGTGAAATAATTTTCCACCAAACACGCATAAATATTAAGTGTTATTATATACAAATCAACGATTAATAATCACAAGATGTATTTCATCCAATCTGCCAAACAAATAAACCCAAGTATGGAGTCGGTTGATTTGGCCACGACATTTTTAATGTGTGTACTAACAACCAAGCAATCCAAGCTGTATTATTTAATGTTATAACAATAATAATAAATACACAATAGGTACACTTTGTTTTGCTTAGTCGTGTTTGACCGTCACTAACAACACTTGTTTCTTTGATCTCTTCCTCAAAAATTCTTGTACAGGTCAAATTTGCAACCCTATATTTCATCCTTTTCCGTGTCCTGTCTCTGTGTGTATATATATATATATATATATATATATATATATATATATATATAGACTCGACTTTCAAGCTGGTTTCAATGGAGAAGAAAACAACAAAGTCGAAAAACAAGATTTGGAGATTACTACCGAAGGCAGCACAAGCTTCGCTTTCATTCCAAAACCCGCCGCCGTTGAGCCCGGGCCGAGACAAGCTCAAAACCCATTTCAGCAAAGGTTTTTCCGGCCCGAGTACGTCGGACATGGTTTCCGACGACGAAAACCGAGAGCCCACTTCACCGAAAGTATCCTGCATGGGTCAAATCAAGCACAGGAACAAGATTCGCAGAACCAGGAATACAGGCACGGCGGCGCGTGAGGTGAAGAAGAAGCCGTCGGGTCTCAAGAAGATTTTCGGGTACGGCGGCGGCGGAAGAAAATCCGATTCTTCAGTTAACCACGGCGGCGGACTGCGGCTGCCGGATAGGGCGGCGAGTCTGAGCCAGATGAGGAGGTTCGCTAGCGGCCGCGGCACGTGCGCGAATTTTGATCGGACAACTGCACGAAATGCAGCGAAGGAGGGCCGGGGTTTCTATTCCGATGAGGAGAGGGGATACAGTGACGGAGAAGATGACGTCATCATCATACCTTTCTCAGCTCCGATTTTTGTGGCTGGAGCCGGAGGTAACGGCGGCTTGGCTTTGGAGCCGAGGAAGGAGATTAATTTGTGGAAAAGGAGGACAATGGCTCAGCCTAAACCTCTCCAGCTGCTTAACCCATAAATCATTTTTATTTTATTTTATTTTATTTTATTTTATTTTTAAATGTACATAAAATCATCCTTTATTGTTCTTATTTGTATAAAACAAAATTCAATTTTCAAAATATTTGTAAAATAATTAAATAATTTGAAAAAAAATATACATTAGAGTCAATTTTCAGCTTAATTAATTCATTGCCATCTTATTTGTATAAAACAAAATTCAATTTTCAAAATATTTGTAAAATAATTAAATAATTTGACAAAAAAAATACATTAGAGTCAATTTTCAGCTTAATTAATTCATTGCCATCTTATTTGTACAAAACAAAAGTCAATTTTTACTCAACAAACATTTCACACAACAGTCAACCATTAATGAACTCAAAGCATATATTCGAATCTACAATGTCGAAATCATATTTTTCGGAACCCGCTGAATACAACGTTTACTAAAGCATTTTGATGGATGATTTCGGCCATGCAACCGTACTTCCTAAAGCATCGCCGAGCTTACGAAATTCATCGGTAGGTCTATACATAGCCAAGTTCCGGTCAATCACTTTACCAACCCATACTTTCCAGCAATCTCTTCCCACCGGCACATGATTAACTAAGCTCCGCGGATCGAATGACGCAACATGCCCTTCTGCCACAACTTCTTCACCGTCGAAATTATACCAATTTAATAATCGGCACTTTGCATGTTGAAGTTCCGTCGATTGATCACGTGCATGATAACTTTCTTGTTCTGACTGAAATTAGCAAATTAGAGATACTCTCAGTATCGAACCTCATAATAGTAATAATTCATTTAAAATAAATAAAAGAATCTTACTTGTGGACTCTCGACATGTACGCTTAAATCCTCAACATTCTTGTTCGGGTTCTGTAAAAAAAGTTTTGGATGACAAATCGATGTTTTTTAAAAAAAAATAAAAAAAATATTACATTGGTTATTCGAGAAGTGTTGTACCTTTTGATTTATTTCAAGGAGAGCTTGCAATTGAGCTTCAATTGTACCGATTCTCTCGTCTTGTGTTTTAACATAGGCTTCGAGTTCCTTCACTCTCGCATTACCTTTGACTATTACGTCCACTTTAGAATGTGTGGCACCAAAACCAAGTCCACGAACTCTTCCACGAGATTCAGGTCCTAAAACTCGTGCAAGCGCATCATCTCGAACACAATCCTTTGACGGCGGATTCTCGGTTGATTCGTTGCATTTTTTTATTTTTTCCTACAAATATAGAACATGATTTCCAAAAACCAATTTTTAAAAAAAGATTTAAGAAAACGAGGGAGATGAATTTATCAAAGTGTACCATTATCTCTGCAGCAGCTTCGTTTACCGGTACTCCGTTCTTTTTTTGGTGCCCGATTGTCCATAACTCCACTCGTGTTATTTCATCAGGATTTGGATAGTTTGCTTTCTATATAAATACAATTCAGATTTAGTCAATTATGTGAATTACATCAGCGTGTGACATAAAACATTTAAAATAAGATTCAGATTTAGTCAATCACTCGTAATCTTACAAGTTCGTTCTCCAAGCGAGCATAGCCTTTACGACTCATAGTATGAGTGTATTTTTGATTTTTCCGCAATGCGCTAAATCTTTGACTTCTGACCTAATAACAATACCAAATTATAACATTATTGTTAAGGTAAAAATAAATTTAAAAAATAAATAAATAAATAAATAAAGTGAAACTTACTTGAAACGATGTTGCAAGTCTTGCTTTCACAAAAGCATCCCAATCCGCTTTGGATTTTACACTCGGTGGCTTAATAAGCTGGAACGCACGTCTCTTCTTCGGCGTGTTCGGCAACTCGTCATTTGCCTTGATAATTTCACGTGTGATTTTCGATTTATACTGCCTCCAATACTTGCCCATCATTTTAAAGATAACGCCCTTATGCGAATCGTTCACAATAAACGATTGCTGTACGTAATAAATAAAAAATCTTCAATTAAGCAGCCCATTATATAATATATTAAATAAGACATAAAAATTCATAATAAAATTACGAACCTCAACTAACGACCAAACTTCATCCTTCAACGGTTTCCATTTCTCGTCTTCAAGTTGTTTCCACTCTATCACAATAGGGATGTTTTGGCGCGCTATAACACCAAGAAACGACACGAATTTGACCGAATTTGCACCGAGCGGTTGTCCAGTTAGATTAAAATCAATTTCCATCTTTTGATTAGGGCAATTACGGAAAATTTCCATTTTGGTTGGACCCCTTTTTCTCTTTCGTTGTGTAGATTTGGTGCCATTCGCAACTTCATCCACCTCTACAGACTCCATTTCTTGTCTAATTGACGTTGAATTTTGTTCCGTTTGTTGTGCAGATTCTGAAATTGCACTTTTCTCTATTTGAGCAGGGCGTTGTTGTCCATTTGCACTATTCTCGAATTGAACATCTTCATCTTCAGTATCAATCACCGGTTGTTTATTCGCCACTCTTGTTCGAGCCCTCGTAGAACGCTGCACAATATAACGAAACAATTAGAAACGTATGCACATATGTGACTACATATACATAATAAATTCAATCAATTTCGTTAATTTTAAAAGATGTAGTTCGGTTTTACCGTCCACGCATACATCTTCCGAACCACTCAAGCAAGTCCACTAGTCTGCAAAATTAAACTTTCACATTAGCAAATTTTGTTAAGAGCACGAAACGAGGGAATCGAAAACTAATCGTTTAATTTAATCATTTATACGAGTCGATTTTCAGTGGGCATTTCAAGGTTATTTATTACAAGGAACTTATTTTCATACACAGCAAAATAAAATTGATTGACACAATCAATTGAACTCCTGAAAGAAGCTTAAAACTTCAAATCCAATCCCTAAACCCGAAACCCGAAACCGAAACCGCAAAAATCGAACCGAATGTGTTTTCGATAAAATCGAAAACCTTACGAAAGAATCTACAGAAATCCCCATTGAGTGCCCTAATAAATTTCCAGAAAATTTTGCCACTAAACACCTCAAATTAAAAGGCAATTGAAATCTCCTAGAAATTCCAGTACATAAATCCCCAAATCAAAATTTTGGTCTCAATTTAATTGAAACTAATGCTAAATTAGGGTTTTATCGGACAATTAAAATTAACAAATTACGAAACAGATGAAAAAGTGAAGAGAAATTGACCTTTGATTCTTCGATGGAGAAGGATGGATCTTCTTCAGTAAAGAGTAGGTAACATTTTTCTTCCCTGAATAATAAATAACCAAAAGCGTGTTTGCGCTTTTAAATGGGAGAAACCACCAACCATTTTTCACCAGCACATTGTTATAACTCATACGACGACGTATTCACTTTTCAATTTTTTCTTTTCATGTAATAATTAGTAAAACGGAGGTACAAAGTGAAACAAATTTTTCAATTTTTACGGTTTAAATCGTAAATTTGATCTGAATCGGAATATATATGAGATCATATTCCAATATTCGAACCAATTTTAATTCTGAAAAACTCCGATTTTTTTTTTAAGTACCAATTTTGCCATGCTCCGATTTCCATCGTTAATTGGATCGAAGAATCCTCGGTTAATGGAAAACATTTGGTGAAGTATTTCAATTAACTCCATAAGTGGGCCATTTTTTTTTCTACAACATGTGGCCCAATTTTTTGCAAAATTAGGACACATTTCAAAGCTATTTCACAAATACCATAATGCGTCATTTATAATGACGCGTTTTAAAATGCTGACATGTGTCAAGGTGAGATGTGGGCCATTTTGTATTTTTAATATAAAAAATTGAAGTAAAAAATTTTAAATCTGTGGGCCCCGCGGCTTAAAACAATTCGGATGGTTGGGTTGGGTGGGTGGGTGGGTGGGTTTTATGGAAGAGTTGGTGGGTCCCAGCAACCTTTTTAGATTTTTATATTATTATTATTATTATTATTATTATTATTATTATTATTATTATTATTATTATTATTATTATTATTATTATTATTATTATTATTAAGTAGAAAAAAATATCTTTAAAATTTCGAAAACTTCTTGAATTTTGTGAAAAAATCGAAAATAATATATTGTTTCGGATTTTTTAAATTATTTTGTAATTTCAGAAATTCGAATAAGGGTTTAAATTTTAAAGCATATATTATTATTTTTTCTTTTCAAAATTGAAAAAGTTTTCAAAATGTTTTGGAATTTCATAATAGATGATCAAATTCTAAATTAGGGCTTAAAATAAAATAAAAATTGTAATTACGTATTCAAAAGTTACTTAACACAAAAAAAAAATTGTTTACTTAATTATTTTTTTCTTAAGTATCCAAAATAAATT